TTAGGGTTTAGGGTTTAGCCAAAAAGCGCGCGGCGCCGGCGGCCCGTCAAAGGGGAAGCGCCTCAGAAATCGAATGCGGAACGCCGAGGAAGTCTCCCACATTGGGCTTGCCGGGTTCAACCCAGAGACTCCAATACCCCTTAATTCAGGAATATACCTTAAATCATGTTAGGGTTCCTATTATGATTTAGGGTATACTCCTTAATTAAGGGGTATTGGAGTCTCTGGGAAGTTTCTTGGGCGAAGGGTCCCAGGCCGAGCTTGGTTCTTTCAGCCCCTACACGAAGTTATCAGGCCCCTCTATGACGGGCTCCTGGCTTGCAGAGCAAGGAACTGAAGCAGAAGACTCCAAACCCTAAACCCTACTGGTAAACCCCAAAAAGCCCTGAACCCCAAATCCTAAACCCGACCTGCCAGAGCAATTGAAAGGAAACCAGCAACGGCCCGAAACGTGTGACCCCGTGCCTTCACGCAGGGGACATCTTCAACATGGGTGACGCCCTCCCCCAGGACAGTTTAGGGGTTTGGAGTGTAGGGTTTAGGGCATAGGGTCTACACTTAGGGTTTAGGGTTTGGGGTTATGGGGTTGAAATACCCGAAAACCTAAGCCTTAATCCCTAAACCCTAAACCCTACACCCCTAAACATAAACCCCTAAACCCCTAAACCCTAAACGCTAAACCCTAAACCCAGGCGCAATTGACATCTGAGACGGAAGCCTAAACCCCTAAACCCTAAACCCTAAGCCCTTAAACCCCTAAACCCCTAAACCCCTAAACCCGAAGACCGAGTCTCTAAGACTCCAATCGGCTTCGGGTTTAGGGTTTAGGGGTTTAGGGGTTTAGGGTTTAGGGTTTAGGGTTTAGGGTTTAGGGTTTAGGGTTTAGGGTTTAGGGGTTAGGGCTCTAAACTTGGCGTTCTTTTGGTTGGCTCTTAGGACTTGGTTTTTGGGTTTCTATACGAACTTTTATAAGGGAGCTAAAAGTTTAACTTTTAGGAGGGGTGCAGAAGTCAGCTTCTAAACGGCTTTGGGTTTAGGGTTTAGGGTTTAGGGTTTAGGGCTTTAGGGCTTAGGGTTTAGGGTTTAGGGTTTGGGGTTTAGGGCTTTAGGGTTTAGGGTTTAGGGTTTAAGGACTCTAAACGGCTTAGGGTTTAGGGTTTAGGCGCCTTAGCTGAACCTTGAGTCGGGATAGACAGCGCCAAGGACCACCACTATGTCGTAGGTTTAGGGTTTGCGGTTTAGGGTTTAGGGCTATGTAAGAGTTATTATCAGTGTACCCTAAACCCGAAAACCTTAACCCTAAACATATGGGTAGTTGTCAAAATTAGGGTCCCTTTTGGGGTACCCTAAATAATAGGTGCCGTATTATAATAAGGACCCAAAAAAGGGACCCTAATTTTGACAACCACCCATATCAGTATGGGCAGAGATTCTGAACTTCGTTGAGGTGTGGGGGTCCGAAGCTCTTCGACCACCGAAAGGAACACCCAAAGGAACTCCAAGATTCATGTGGGGGTTTCCGAATATAGGGGACCCTAATATAGGACCCTAAATAGTAGGATCCTTATTATAAGGACCCCCAAATAAGGTACCCTAATTTTCGGAAACTCCCATGTAGGGGCCTTGATAACTAGAACAGGGCCTTGCGGTCCGTTGTACTTTTAATATAACAGCGAACCCCAAAAAACAGTATCGGTAACTACTTAGGCATCCTAAACTTAAACACCTCAAGGGTATCGAACACCGAAGAAGCCGCGGGGCTTGGTCACGCGGAATGCCAGCCCCGAAATGGGGGAGGCATCAAAGTCTTCGTCGTTTCCCTCCTCCTGTGGCACATGTGCAGGTCAGGGTTTAGGGCTTGCGGCATACAACCCGCGGTCCTGAGACGCAGCTAGGTATCAGGATTTGGGGCTTAGTGCCTGGAATACACTTGGGAAAGTCTTTGTCGAGACCTGGTCGCACCAGACCACCACAACCAACTTCTTTTTGGTCCAGGCCCAAACCCATGAAGAACGGGAGCCACGCCACCCCACGGTTTTCCTAAGACTTTGGTGGACTTTCTCGTCCTGGAATCTTGGTGTCTCCTGGCTAAGGCCTTACAGGCCTAAGCCCTGAACTATGGTATTGCTGTCAGATTGCGTGATGTTTTGTGAGAGCCCCAAACTCAGGCTTTCGCATCTCGCCTCCTGCCCCTTTGACGATGGAGGCTTCAGTGGATCCGGTTGAAACCCTTAACCCCACAGCGCTTTTACACGGCACCAGACGTATTTTTGCGCAGCCTGCAATACAATCTCCCGCGCTGCAATGAAAGACCCTATAGAAACCTATCTCCTTCCTCAAGCACCCTCATATGAAGTCGTAGAGCAAAGCAGAAATCCCTGCCCCCCTTGCTTCGGCCATTATCCAAAAGCTTTAAGCCTCCTTCATCCGAATGCAGAAAGAAGCAAAGGTTTAGCTCAGACAAGCGCCTCAATATCAGGTATCTTTCCTGTATCTTGCCGAGATCTCAAACTTTGGAATTTGTATGTCCAAAAGTTGCATTGCACCCCTGGGCGGTTGGTGGCCTCTTTGCTCTCGTCCTCCTCCCCTTGCACAAAGCAAAGGATAAGGGAAAAAAAGTAGGGTGATTGGGGTTCAAGGCTCTTTTCACATGCAAGGGTTGAGGGTTCGTGGGGGCCGGGGGGTTGAAGGCGTCTCGAAATCCAAGTAGTTAGTTGGGGTTTGGGACTGTTGCATCTGGTTCGGGTTGGTTGAGGGCTTGGAGTTTAGGGCTGCTTAGAGTTCAGGGTTTAGGGTTTAGGGTTCAGGGTTTAGGGTTTAGGGTTCAGGGTTTAGGGTTTAGGGTTCAGGGTTTAGGGTTTAGGGTTTAGGGTTTAGGGTTTAGGGGCTACGTAGGTATGGGGGGGCTCGGCCAGGGATCCTGAAGACAGGGAGTGTCTTTGGGACTTGGTGAGACTGTTTCCAGGGGCTGTCTCAGCACTCTGCTCCTGGCCCTTCTTCCTTGAGACCGTCAGTCAATCTACGGTTGATGATATAAATCCTGCATTGCCCCATAACAATCTAAGGTTAAAAGTATGGCCCCTAAGATGGACCCCTAAGCCTTTCTAGGGACCCTTAAGGGTACATGTAGGGTATATAGTAGGTGTATAAGGATCCCAAGGTTAAGGGCCCACACGAGGGAAATAAGGAACCATAATTCCCATAGTTCAGGGTCAAGGTACTGCAGGATCTATATCACCAAAAGTGGGTAGTTTTCTAAATTAGGGTCCCTTTTGGGGTCCTTTTTACAAGGGTGCCGTACTATATTGGGGACCCAAAAAGGGACCCTAATTTAGAGAACTACCCCAGTAGCCCCCCACATGTCAATCCAAAACTCCCTAGGGCACAGGTCGCAGACCTTGACTGTGATCCGACCGCCCATCTTCAAGCCCACAGGCTTAGTTTAGGGTTTAGGGTTTTAATTAAGCTTTATCTCCGCAGAGCCCCCAATATCCCTTAATTAAGGAATATACCTTAAAACTTCTTAGGGTTCCTATTGTAATTTAAGGTAGATTCCTGAATTAAGGGGTTTTGGAGGCTTTATCTCGGCCCAAACCAAATGCCCCTCGTAGGGTTTAGATTTTGGGTTTACCGTAGCCGACTCAAAGGCGCAGACCACCTGGATCCCAAACAATAATTAAAGGAAACTACAGGTGGGGAGTTTGGGGTATATAGGGGTTCTATAAGGCTTCTATAGGGTATATAGACCTTCTATAAGGCTCCTACAACGGTAACTACCCACCTGAAAATGTCCTAGACCATAGGTGCAGATCCCACAACAGCCTTTCCGGTAAGATGCATCTCTACGCGAAAATCGGTACTCTACTGTACACCGGAGCATGGAAGTCGGCAAATGCCTGTTGTCATGGTATGTGACTCATAGCAGAAGCCTAAAACCAAAACCCTATACCTGCCTGCAGTTTTTATCCTCCCCCACCCAAAGCCCTCGGTGCCTTCGAGACTGATGTTCTCAACTGTGGAGGTGTCAGCTGGGAGGATCAACTCGGACAAGTCATGGTCCTTTTTGCCTCGAGTGTTGCGCGTTGAACGCTCGAACACGAAGTAGCTTTAGATGTTTACACACTGGCCGAGAGCCCGATTGACTGTTTTGGGGTTCACGGTGTCTAGTTGTGGCAAATGCGGCAGGTTCATACCGTGAAGGAAGCCAGGGTCTGGGCTCTGTGGTCCTTTCGATTGAAAAGCTTCGGAAGCATGGTTGTGGATGTCCTTGCGGACGCAGTCAGTCTTCGGATATTCTGGGCTGGGCTGTGGTGGGTCGGTTCTGAGTGTAGCGTCTCAAGGGTTCAGGGACGGTGTCCGAGCATGCCTGGAGGCTGCAGAGCCCAAAACCATCCGACATCGTCGAACCCAGGCCGGTAGTTCTCTAAATTAGGGTCCCTTTCAGGGTCCCTTATTATCAGGGTGCCGTACGAAATTAGGGACCGAAAAAGCGGCCCTACTTTAGAGAACTACATCAGCTGCAAACAAAAGGCTCAGATCCAGCAGCACATCGTCCACGGCCCAGTTTGCCTGACCTTTGAACACCGTGCTTTATGACTGGGGCCTTCCCGCTTGTTCCTGGACCCTACCACAGCAGGGTTTAGGGTTTAGGGGGTTTAGGGTGTAGGGTTTAGGGGTTTAGGGTTTAGGGTTTAGGGTTTAGGGTTCAAACAAAACCTAACTAAACTGTAGTGTTCGTTCCCCACCCCTTTAGAGCTCCCTAAACGCAATATAGCTGGCTCAGAGTCAAGCTCATAAGGAACCTAGTGCTGTTCTGTCGTTTCTTCATGGAACCTGCGGCCGAAACCGTGGGGGTGCTGCTGCTGGTGTAGGTGGTGGTTTCGTGTTGTTCCGGTGCTGGTCCCGGCAGCAGCGGCAGCAGCAGCTTTTGTTGCCGTTGCAACCACTGTACAGCTGTTGTTGACTGCAGCACGCCGGTCGCCATTGCAAACGGTCTCTGTCTGTGTGTGTGTGTGGGTCTGTTGAGACATTACTCTGCAGATCTGCTGAACTCCCGTGACTGCCAGTGTTTTTAGTGGTGACTTGGCAGCATCCTCGGCAGACCATGACAATACTCAAGAGCAGTCGTTATCACTCCATCTAACTTGCGTGGCCGGGACCTTGAAGGTTTTCCTAGCCCTTTTGGAACGGAAGCGTCCTGCAACCTTCCCAGCAGTCTGCTGCAAGACGACAACCTTGCGAAGTGGCCGCAGTCACTCCCAGTGAAGCACTATTGCCGCTCAGCGAACGCCGTTTCAGCTTGACGGAAGTCTGCACACGAAGCCTAAACCCTAAACCTCTTGGACTACAAAGCCCAAAGCCCCTTAAGCCCTAAACCCTCGGGCCTAGAAGCCCCAAGTCCCTAAAGCCCACAACGACAACCCTACAACCCGAACCCTAGAAGCGAAAATCCCGAAAACCCGAGCACCCCTAACCCTAAACCCCTAAAGCCCTAAACCCCTAAACCCCTAAAGCGGAGCATCCCTAAAAACCCGAACAACTCCGAGAAAACACACAAAAAAACCCGGGTCGAGCCGCTCTCTGCTCCGGCCCAGCTGACCGGCTCAGGAAGCTCGCCTGTCAGTGCCTGCTCACTACAAACCCAAAGCTTGCCAGGAACCTTTATATATTATATTATGTTATACTATTCGTGGTACCCTTTTGTTGCATTATATTTATATCATAGTATATGATTCGTAGTACCCTTGTATTATGATAAAATCTAATGCAGCTATTGCAGTATATTTTATCACATCGTGTTGTACTGTTATATACCTTAACCCACCAGAACCCACTGTTTTGTCGGGTCCCTATAAATCCCATATTAAGGTTTATAATAAGAGCCTAAACAAAAGTGGGTATTGGTCGGTTAAGGTATAATGCTTTCCTGCAAGCTGCGAGGGAGGCCTTCGGCTGCTTGGGCCTTTCTTCGTGTCTGGAGTTGTCGGGTTTGGGGCTTCAGGCTGGGGGTGATAGTGCTGGGCGTGACTACTATAAGGGCCGTAATAATTAGAATAGGGTTTTGGGGTATATTATAATGTAGTTATAAGAAGGAACCCCAAAAAATACTGTTGGCAAGTATTTAGGCCCCAATCCTACCACCAACAGTTTTGCACCCGCTGACGGCTTGGGACTGGTTTGCAAGGTTTAGGGTTTAGGGTTTAGGGCTTAGGGGTGGATGTTCTGAATGCCTCGATGCCCGGTGCTATCAGCTAACTTGGCAGATCATGCCTTGAGCAACCACGGTCCCAAAAGCCACTACTTGTTTGTGCTTACTGTCCAAATAAAGGGGAACTCCTTCGAACTGCAATCCTGAGCGTACAAAACTTGGAGAATGGCGTGACCTGGAATCGAAACCTGACCAGCTTCTTCATTGCTAGCGCTGATGGTTCCCAGCGTTAGCCACGCGGTCCTAATCGCCAGCCGGTTACGTGCGGCAGCTAGTCGAGGGGTTGTCGAACTTCTGTCGGTTGCAGCTACTCTTGCTTGTTGCCCGGGTATCGGCGACGACTCTTGAAGGAACTCGGACCAATACAAGCGCGCAGAAGCTACGGCGCTGAAAGAAGAAGAAGAACATGACTACGTACTGCATCATCTGCGCCTTCTCCAACCGCCGAGACTTCTCTGTGGCCGGCAACGCTGGTGCCTCCGCAGAGGGATCTTCCCTTACGTTTCTGCTGATCGGGGCCAGCATCCAAAGCGCAGAAACGAATCGCTAGTTTACATGGCCCTTAGCTGCGCCACTTCGAAACCAACCTTTCAAAACCACAAAACCTAGATTAATGAGGGGCATCGGAACACGCGAACCCACGTGGTGCCTCACCTGGTCCTGGACTCCTGGACTTACCCTAAGGCTGTAAGCGCTTGTTGTGGGTTTCTCTGAGGGTTTGCTTGCAAATCCCCTTACGAGAATCCACCATTGCAGTATCCCAAGGTTGCACATGGGACTTCCACTACATCACATGTGGAAGCAGCAGAAAGAAGTAGCTGTACGTACGAGTGCAGCCAGCCGCGGGCGCAGCTCCCTCACCAAGACGAGCACTAAAGGAACGCGGGCTGCGTCACTGCGCCAAAAGATGCTAAAAGTGGGCAGTTTGTGAGCAGCGTCCACAAGCTCGGGCTTCGGGTTTATAGGGTTGACGTATACTGTCATACTGATACCTTAACCTACCAGAACCTACTTTTTTGTTGGTCCCTATAAATCCCATATCAAGGTTCATGATAAGAACCTACAAAAAAGTGGGTTTTGGTAGGCTAAGATACTTTAAGACCAGAAGCGATAGCCTTCTTCGCTCAGAAATCTCGACGTTTCAGTTTTCAGGGATCAACTCCACTATGGAACACCTACCTTAAGAACCCAAAACCCACTTTTTTGTAGGTCCTTATTATAAACCCTAATATGGGATTTATAGCGACCCTACAAAAAAGGTAGGTTTTGGGTTCTTAAGGTACGCTTGAATGCTCAGACACCTCAACCCAAGCCCCAACCGCCAAAACTCCGAACTCTAACCCCAAAACCCACATCCCAAAACCCTAACCCCAAAACGCTAACCCCAAAACCACATCCCAAAACCCTAACCCCAAAACCCACATCCCAAAACCATCAGGCCTCATCTACGGTTTACAGACCCCGAAGATCCCTCGGCCCCCAAAGATCCCTTTCAATCCAAACCACTCACACCGCAAAACCCTAGGTTTAGGGTTTAGG